AAGGGTGGGGGAGGGGCAATGTAACATACAAACCCCCCATAGCCCAAAGAAATAAAGGCCAAGAATCTACCTCTTTCTCGAAAGCAAGCAGAACTCCCTACTTACTTGCAAGTCGGCAGGAAATGCCAACGTGTCCAGGTGCTAAAAGCGCACCCAAACTGTCCTTCGGGACATCCATTAAAATTGGAATGATACAGAGAAGATTAGCACGGCCCTGTGCAAGGATGACACGCATAAGGTGAGAAATGGTCCAAATTAAAAAAAAAAAATAAAAAAAAATGCACCCAAACTCGTTGATAATGAATCCTCATTACTTGCAGCGCATCCCGTGCGCGGGGTCGCGGGACATGCGGCGCAGAGCACACGCGCATGCACGCGCGCGCACGTGATGCGGCACGTCACCAAAAAAAAAAAAAAAAGAAAGGACAGGGTGGGGTGGCCAAACATGCCCCTTGCTTCCGAAAATCAAACTGCACGAGGGAAAAAAGTTGGGGCCACCCCATACCCCAACACTGTGAGCACATGTGTGTGCATGTGGGTGTGCATGTCCTAATTGTCTCCAGTCTCATTTCCAAAGGGCCCCTACGAATTAGCAAGGACCCCTCGTGGAGCAGAGATGAACATTAGACTTCTAGTTTGTCTGCATGGGCCGAGAACTCTGGATTCAAATTCAGGTCTGTGCATCACAGTTATGGGTCACTAATTCTCTATTTTCTCGTTTTTCTTTTGTTCCTCGTTTTCCTTTTGTTTTCTCGTTTTTCTTTTGTTTTCTTGTTTTTATTTTCTTAGGAATATGTGCAGTGGCCCTAAGGGCCTCTAGTCACCACATGCACAAAAGACAAAACATATGGCGGCGTATTATTCCACGTTCTAGCAGAAGGTTCATTCTAATTCTGCACATTTGCAGTTGCCCTAAGAGCCTCTACTCACCACATGCCCAAAAGACAAAACATATGGCGGTGTATTAATCCACGTTCTAGCAGAAGATTCATTCTAACCGTGCACATTTGGTGAGTACTGCAGCCAAGCCCTGAGAATCACGTGCAGAGACCAACAGGGCCTAGCGTAGTGACCAACCCATAACTGCTGAAACACAGACCTGAATACGAATCCTAAGTATACATTCAGCCAGCTCGTGCTCCACTTTGTATTCACTGCCTGCCTTGATTTCGATGGAGGGACCTGGCTAAATTGATGCGAGGACCCTTCAGATTACCGGCATGGGCCTTCTGATACGTGTGACGGGGATCCTTTGTTCTCTCTCTCTCTCTCTCTCTCTCTCTCTCTCTCTCTCTCTCTCTCTCTCTCTCTCTCTCTCTCTCTCTCTCTCTCTCTCTCTCT